CAGCCTCCCGAGTAGCTGGGATTACAGGCACACGCCACCATGCCCAGCTAATTTTTTGTATTTTTAGTAGAGACGGGGTTTCACCATGTTGACCAGGACGGTCTCGATCTCTTGACCTCGTGATCCACCTGCCTCGGCCTCCCAAAGTGCTGGGATTACAGGCTTGAGCCACCGCGCCCGGCCCCAAATTCTTAATCTTTACTGTGAGTAGCACATTACAACTTTTGACGAACTTTTCTTTTTTTTTTTTTTTTTGAGAAGGAGTCTCGCTCTGTAGTCTAGGCTGGTGTGCAGTGGTGTGATCTCTGCTACCTGCAATCTCTTGCTTCCTGAGTTCAAGCAAATTTCCTGCCTCATTCTCCCCAGTAGCTGGGATTACAGGCTCATACCACCATGCTCAGCTAATTTTTGTATTTTCAGTAGAGACAGGGTTTCACCATTTGGTCAAGACTGGTCTTGAACTCCTGACCCTGTGATCCCTCACCTCAGCCTCCCTAAGTGCTGGGATTACAGGCATGAGCCACTGTATCCAGCCTGATATACTTTTCATTATTACTCCCTAATCCAGATGGTTGTCAAATTTTGTTTAATGAAGGCAGAATCACAGAGTATACGTCTTGTAGAAACCTACTTCATATTAACAATGTTACATAGAGAGAATTTATTAAATAAATGTATGGAATCAACTGACCCAAAGCATACAGCATTTTCAAAATGTTAAGAATTATTCATAACCAGGCTGGGCGTGGTAGCTCACGCCTGTAAGTCCACCACTTTGGGAGGCCAAGGCAGGTGGATTACCTGAGGTCAGGAGTTCAAGACCAGCCTGGCCAACATGGTGAAACCCTGTCTCTACTAAAAATACAAAAATTAGCCAGACATGGTGGCACATGCCTGTAATCCCAACTACTTGAGAGGCTGAGGTGGGAGAATCACTTGAACCTGGGAGGTGGAGGTTGCAGTGAGCCGAGATCGTGCCACCCCTCCAGCCTGGGCAACAGAGAGACTCTGTCTCAAAAAAAAAAAAAAAAGAAGAAAAGAAAAAGAATAACCAGATCATTATGTATGAGCTACATATTCAAGTTCAATCCTAAAAGGAACACAGTCATCAAATAGCTTTTGTTAACCTCACATTGCCTTCTTTTCTGCTCAAATGAGTTTTTAACCGTAAGATATCAATACTGCACGTAGTACCACATTCCATCAAATCTGCAAGTTTTAACCACCTGGTTAGAACCTATTAGATTATTCCACTGAGGTTTAAGCTCATCCATTAGTTTAAATGCCTGTGCGGCTTCTCCTCCACCCAAAAACAGCTTTCTGAGGGTTGTTCCAGATAGAACACTTTTAGTTGAGTATATTCTCAAACTACACAAAAATAAAGACACAGCTATTTGAAACCCACCATAGTCGGGGAAAAACTCCTCATTTTCATGTCGTTTATCCACATTCTTGCTACATCTTTATTAGAAGACTCTTTCTTTACTGTACCATTGCTTACATCAGCTGAGGAGAAAAAAAGACAATTTACATTTTAGAAGAAAATTCTCAACTTATTTTCTGATTACTTAAAAATCCAGAACTTTACCCATTTCACAAAGCAAAGAATGTCAATCTATTACTAATTTATTTTGTATTTATTTACTTAATTTTTTGAGACAGAGTTTTGCTCTTGTTGCCCAAGCAATTCTGCTCAGCCTCCAGAGTAGCTGGAATTATAGGCATGCACCACCATGCCCGGCTAATTTTTTTTTCTCTTTCTTTTTTTAAAGTAAAGATGGGGTTTCTCATGTTGGTCAGGCTGGCCTTGAACTCCCGACCTCAGCTGATCTGCCTACCTCAGCCTCCCAAAGTGCTGGGATTACAGGGGTGAGCCACTGTAGCCGGACTCTTTTAAATTAAGCACAGGCATGAAAACATTCAAACCCTTGTGTCTTTATGGAAGTAAAGAATTAACTTGGCCAGGTGTGATGGCTCAAGCCTGTAATGCCAGCACTGCAGGAGGCCGAGGCGGGCGGAGCACGAGGTCAGGAGTTCAAGACTAGCCTGGCCAAGATGGCAAAACCCCGACTCTAATAAAAATACAAAAATTAACCGGCATGCTAGCAGGTGACTGTAATCTCAGCTACCCGGGAGGCTGAAGCAGAGAATTGCTTGAACCTGGGAGGCAGAGGTTGCAGTGAGCCAAGATCGTGTGACTGTACTCTAGCCTGGGCGACAGAGAGAGAGATTCTGTCTCAAAAAAGAATTAACTTCTGAAAACAAGTAACTCACAAACAATGTGTGCATGGGAAACTTGAAAATTATTTATCAGAAAGATACCCTAACCACAACTATTTAATAGTTTAATGAAAACATCAAAAGCCAGTATTACTTTGAGACACTTCACTTGACTCATTAAAAACAAACAAAACTGGCCAGGTATGGTGGCTCACACCTGTAATCCCAGCACTTTGGGAAGCTGAGGCGGGCAGATCATGAGGTCAGGAGTTTGAGACTAGCCTAGCCAGCATGGTGAAATCCTGTCTTGACTAAAATTACAAAAAAATTAGCTGGGCATGGTGGCAAGCGTCTGTCATCCCAGTTATATGGGAGGCTGAGGCAGGAGAACTGCTTGAACTCAGCAGGCAGAGCTTGTAGTGAGCCGAGACCACATCACTGCACTCCAGCCTGGGTAACAGAACGAGACTCTGTCTCACAAAAAAAATAAAATAATAAACAAATAAAATAAAAATAAAGTACTAACAAAATAAGGAAACTGCAACAGAGATGATATGTAGGGGCATCATTCATTTATTGTAACTGTGGAAGAGCCAGCAATCAGCTCATAGTTTTAAGACTGGAGTAAAACTGACAGATTAGAAATCCAAAGGGGCGGCCAGGCATGGTGGGTCATGCCTGTAATCCCAGCACTTTTCAGAGGCCGAGGTGGGAGGATCAGGTCAAGAGATTGAGACCATCCTGGCCAACATGGTGAAACCCTGTCTCTACTAAAAATACAAAAATTAGCTGGACATGGTGACATGCGCCTGTAGTCCCAGCTACTCGGGAGGCTGCGGCAGATACTTGAGGAAAAAAAAAAAAAAGAAATCCAAAGCGGTAACAACCACACAGATAAGAGGTAGAACATGTAACACCTTGCTTTCTGCAGTTTCACATTTTCAATGTTCTTCCCCGTCAGTAAAGAGGACCATCTCCAACACAAACCTTTGCTTATCCTCAGCATTCATTTACCCATCTTTCTCAGTCCTGATCTAGTCTGACAGTTTCTCAGGCTTCCATACAAGGACAGTCTTGATTTGCAGCCTTAAATGTCTATATTTGTCTTTTAAAAATTACTACCTTAAGTGTGGGAGAATTTACTGTCCTAGATATCTTCTTCAGCTCCAAATCTATCCTGTTTTGTTCTCTAAACTCTTTCCTCACAATGGCATACATACACTCCTTTAATTTATGATGGCATACGCTGATGTGAGGGGTACAATGCTCAGGAAGCCACTCATATATAAGCAACAGGCTTCCTCATTAAATCCAAAGACCCTAACCAGAACCATCTTCCACAAACTGTCGACCATCCCTAAATCCCCGGCGAGTGATTCCAGAAGCTGCCCTGTACCTCAGCTAGGTCAAGGTCACAGTCCTGCACTCCATGGCAGAAAAAGGAATCAGTCCTAAGACAGCTAAAATGATTTCCCAACTGGCATCTCACTGCCAGGTTGCAGTCAGTTCAGGACAATGATCTTGAGAGGAAAAAAACCACAAAAAAATTAAAACTACAGCCACAAAGACACAATGGTATGAACCCAAACATAAAAATTATATGAAAATTTTAATCACAACTATCACCTGAGATAGGTTCTACATCTTCCTACAAACACATAGCCCATTCTTTCAGAATGCTCCTATCCCTCTATTTCATAAAAACTCAAGCAGGCTGGGCGTGGTGGCTCACGCCTGGAATCCCAATGCTTTGGGAGGCCTAGATGGGCAGGCTGTCTAAGCACAGGAGTTCAAGACCAGCCTAGCCAATATGGGGAAACCCTGTCTCTACTAAAAATACAAAAATTTGCTGGGCATGATGGCGGGTGCCTGTAATCCCAGCTACTTGGGAGATTGAGGCAGAATTGCTTGAACCTGGGAGACAGAGGCTGCAGTGAGCAGAGATAATACCATTGCACTCCAGTCTGACAGAGTGAAACTCCGTCTCAAAAAAAGAAAAAAAAAATACAACATATTGGGCTCTACTGTGAATTAGATTCTGCCTTCAAACAAGATCCATAGATAATTCATAGGTAAATGAAGTATAAGATGCACTGATTTGTAAAGGATTAAGAAAAATATTAACTGGGCTAACCACAATATATAAAACTGGTAAGATCTCATGTTGTTAATGTAGCTACCTGATAATCCCACAAATTTCATTTGAAAGCTACACAATCTACCCAAGGCAGCTAAATTTTTGCTTCCCTTGAATTGTGTTAAAGAGCCTAACTATACAAAATAATGCAGATAACACCCACCCACCCCCGCCTTTTTTTTTTAAACAGAGTTTCACTCTGTTGCCTAGGCTGGAGTGCAGTGGCTAGATCTTGGCTCAATGCAACCTCCGCCTCCTAGGTTCAAGCACAGATAACACCCTTTTATGCCCAGTTCTTTAAAAATCCAAGCAAATCGTTTAAAAAAACAGGCTGACATAGCTTACCAAAGGCAGAAAGTTGAGACTACTGAAAATGGACTTACTAGCTGCTGTTGCTACTGGCTGAGCAATATTAGCAGGTGGCTTTAGTTTCATGAGTTCATTAAGACTATTATGTTTTAGTAGATCCTTCAGTTGAACCTGGTCTTTTGAAGGTGCAGAGGTCATGGCATTTCGTACTGCTGGTGCTGAGACTGAAGGGCGTGTGCTTGCAGTAGTCTGGATAAACTTAGTTAAAGTGATGGTTTGCCTGTTGGTTGTTACAGGTGGTGTTTTAGTCATTACAATTGTAGATGCCAAGGGTGGAAGCTGATTTATTTGATTCAGCACAAATGTTGTAGTAGATGGAGGCTGCTGCTAGAAAACAAAAAACAATATGCCACTGAAAAGTGCTTCATTCTCTAATGGAGCTATATTCATAAACCTGGAAGGGCAACTAAAAATCTAAAAAGGACTTATTACTGCTTTTTTTTTCTACCTTGAGACATAGTCTCATTCTGTCACCCAGGCTGAAGTGCAGTAGTGTGATCATAGCTCACTGCAGCCTTGCCCAAATGGGCTCAAGTGATTCTTGCATCTCAGCCTCCCAAGTAGCTGGGACTACAGGTGCACACCACCATGCCTGGTAAATCTTTTAAGAGATAGGGTCTCGCTATGTTGCTCAGGTTGGTCTCAAACTCCTGGGCTCAAGCCATTCTTCCACCTCAACCTCCCAAAGTGTTGGGATTACAGACAAGAGCCACTGTGGTTAGCTTTGCGTAAATATTGTTACTTCATTTCTGATTTGATTAGCTGCAAACTACCAAGTTAAAACACACAACTTTGTTACTACATACACCATGTTAGTCAGGCTGGTTTCCAACTCCTGACCTCAGATGATCCAGCCGCTCTGGCCTCCGAAAGTGCTGGGACTACAGGTGTGAGCTACTGGGCCAGGCCACAAATGTGTTTTTAAAAATATCTTTGTGGGGCTGGGAGCAGTGGCTCACACCTATTAATCCCAGCACTTTGGGAGACTGAAGCACGCAGATCACCTGAGGTCAGGAGTTTGAGACCATCCTGGCCAACGTGGTAAAATTCTGTCTCTACTAAAGATACAAAAATTAGTCAGGCATGGTGGTGGACACCTGTAGTCCCAGCTACTCAGGAGGCTGAGGCAGGAGCATCACCTGAACCCAGGAGGCAGAGGTTGCAGTGAGCTGTGACGGTGCCACTGTACTCCAGCCTGGCAACAGAGTGAGACACTGTCTCAAAAAAAATTGTGGTGGTACACATTTGTAGTCCCAGCTACTGGGGAGGCTGAGGTGGGAGGGCTGTTTGAGCCTGGAACGTGGAGGTTGCAGTGAGCTGAGAACACACCACTGCACTCTACTTGGGTGACAGAGTGAGACCCTATCTCAAAAGAATAAAGAAAGAATTGTAGGCCAGGCGCGGTGGCTCAAGCCTGTAATCCCAGCACTTTGGGAGGCCGAGGTGGGTGGATCACTAGGTCAAGAGATCGAGACCATCCTGGTCAACACGGTGAAACCCCGTCTCTACTAAAAACACAAAAAATTAGCTGGGCATGGTGACGCGTGCCTGTAACCCCAGCTACTCAGGAGGCTGAGGCAGGAGAATTGCCTGAACCCAGGAGGCGGAGGTTGCGGTGAGCCGAGATGGCGCCATTGCACTCCAGCCTGGGTAACAAGAGCGAAACTCCATCCCCGGGTAACAAAAGCGAAAATCAATCCCCAGCCACCCCCGGCAAAAAAAAAAAAAAAAAAGGAAGAATTGTTACATATAAGGTTACACCAAAGGAACTCTAAAGCACAATTACAATCACAGAAAAATTATATATGCCGCTGGGCACGGTGGCTCACACCTGTAATCCTAGCACTTTGCGAGGCTGAGGATCACCTGAGGTCGGGAGTCTAAGACCAGCTTGACTAACTTGAAGAAACCCCATCTCTCCTAAAAATACAAAATTGGCTAGGCATGGTGGCGGTAAGCCGAAATTCTGCCATTGCACTCAAGTCTGGGCAACAAGAGCAAAACTCCATCTCAAAAAAAAAAAAAAAAAATTATATGTAAGGACAAAAGCTGAAATAAATAAGCAAAACAGAAAATATTAGGATAGGCCGGGCATGGTGGCTCACGCCTGTAATTCCAGTACTTTGGGAGGCCGAGGCAGGCGGGTCACGAGGTCAGGAGTTCAAGACCAGACTGTCTAACATGGTGAAACCCTGTCTCTGCTAAAAAATATAAAAATTAGCCAGGCATTTTTGTGGCTGGTGCCTGTAATCCCAGCTACTTGGGAGGTTGAAGTAGGACAATTGCTTGAACAGGGACCCAGGAGGTAGAGGTTGCAGTGAGCTGAGATTGCGCCACTGCACTCCAGCCTGAGCTACAGAGTGAGACTCCGTCTCAAAAATAAATAAATAGGCCGGGCGCGGTGGCTTAAGCCTGTAATCCCAGCACTTTGGGAGGCCGAGGCGGGTGGATCACGAGGTCAAGAGATCGAGACCATCCTGGTCAACATGGTGAAACCCCGTCTCTACTAAAAATACAAAAAATTAGCTGGGCATGGTGGCGCGTGCCTGTAGTCCCAGCCGCTCAGGATGCTGAGGCAGGAGAATTGCCTGAACCCAGGAGGCGGAGGTTGCAGTGAGCCGAGATCGCGCCATTGCACTCCAGCCTGGGTAACAAAAGCGAAACTCCGTCTCAAAAAATAAATAAATAAATAAAATTCAAAAAAATGAAAATAGGAATGTGCATTTCATCTTTATTTCATGAATTTTATATCATTTGCAATAAACAAAATAGGTTTTGCTTTGTTTGTGTTATCTTTTGGTCAGCACAAGTACCAAAAGAATGAAACAAATGTGTCACAAAGTAGGAGGAGGTAAGGGTAGAATACTGGGAAAGTGGCAAAAAGCAGAACTAGAGAAAATGATTTCACACTAAATGGTTCTTTTTTGAAATTTTTAATCATTATTTAATTATCCATTTCTTTTTTTTTTTTAATTTTTATTTTTTGAGACAAAGTCTCACCCTGTCGCCCAGGCTGGAGTGCAGTGGCATGATTTCAGCTCACTGCGACCTCTACTTCCTGAGTTCAAGAGATTCTCCTGCTTCAGACTCCCAAGTAGCTGGGAGTATAGGCATGCACCTATATGTATTTTTAGGAGCAACACATGGGGTTTCACCATGTTGGCCAGGATGGTCTTGAACTCCTGACCTCAAGTGATTCACCTACCTTGGCCTCCCAAAGTGGCGGGATTATAGGCATGAGCCACCATGCCCAGCCTATTTCCTCTTTTTTTGTAGAGATGGGGTCTTGCCATTTTGCTCAAGCTGGTCTTGAATTCCTTGGCTCAAGCAGTCCTCCTGCTCCAAGCCTCTCAAAGTGCAGAGATTACAGGTGTGAACCACCACACCTGGCCAGGTTATTTTCTCACTACAGTTCTAAATTATTTAACAAGACCAAATCTAAATAATTCTTACCCTCACATTTAACAGTGCTGGAGTAGGTACAGTCTCTGGTTCTTGTTTTACAGGAACTGCTGCTTCGGTTTCCAAACCTAGTTCTAATGCACTAAGTGGCACTGACTGGAGAGAAAACAACATCAGAGAAAGAAACAAAGGACAGCAGTAAAGTCTGTTTCAAGAACAAGAGTTGGATTTACTAAAAAATATCAAGCTTAACATTTAAAGTGATGTGAAATCACTAACAGCAGAT